TAGAGACTGAGAAAAGGCACATGGTCATAAACAGAGACTTGGTTCCTGCCTTCAAGCAGCCTGCAGTATAGTTGGGGTGGATTTCCATGCCATCAGAATATTTCCCAATCAAAACACTCCATCTATAACACCTGGTGCAATCACTGTTCAAACTTTCACAAAATTATGTGCCCACTTTTTACATCAGCAGATGTCCCCACTTACCATGCGGTTTCAGTTTTACCTTTACCTACTACAGGGAAATATAAAAAGCACAGTACCTTTTTATGCTTCCCTGTAGTAGGTAAAGGTAAAACTAAAACCGCATGGTAAGTGGGGACATCTGCTGATGGGAAAAGCGTCTGGTAGACTGAATTATAGTCTCATAAAGGACCATCCTATCAACATCAACCATCACTTTGTTGCTCATGCTTCTCCAGCATCTAACTACAAATCTAACCAAGTTCTGTTTCATTATTTTCAACTTCCAGTGACAGTTCACTTGAACTACCCTTCAGACTCAGTTCTGAAGTCAAACTTGGCCCATGGTATCTCTCAAATCATCACCCTCTGCAAACATCTCTATCCCTGTCTATGGTACCCTTATTTCATCATCCCTCATAGGCATCTTCTACACCCAATCAATTTCCAAGCTGTGTATTAAGCAGAGTCATGGGCACATCATAGACGTTCAATATTTACTTGTGGATTCAGTGGACACGTTTTATATCCTGGGTAACCTCTGTGGGCTAATACCAACTATGGATCTGACACACACTTCTAATGATAGTGGTTAAGAGGACAGCTTTTGGTGAGAGACGGATCTGATCTGGGTTTGCTCCAATCTATGCTACTTAGGATCTCAGTGACTTTGGACACATTTCCTGTTTACAAATATAAGTTATTAGGGTTGTGAGAATCAAATATAAAATGCATGTAAAGCTCAGAGCACAGAGATATTATTTGTCTTAGTCTCTTAGTCCACTATCAATGTTTATCCATCTAAATAATCAAACGTGAAATCCAAATGAGTCCAAATCCAAAGATGGTATCAGTGGTATTCAACTTGAGAACTTTAGCTGGACTACTTAAAAATTGCAAGAAGGGAGCATAAAATATTTTCAGTGGAAACAGATCTCACTTCTTCTCCTAGATCCATCCTCCAGTGTATTCAGTTTTGAAAATTTCAAATAAAAATTATTTAATGCAGGAAGCTTCACTGAGTGCTAGCTGCATTCATAGTAGCTACTTAACCAATTAGGCTGGAATACCTTCCCACTTTCCCTCTGGAAACCTACCTTTAGTTTCTTAACGAGGTCCCTTGTTTTTGTCAAGCTTTTCCCGGCCCCACACACAAGATCTATGCCCAACTGGGATCCACTTTGGGAATTAACCACAAAAGATATTTCTTCTCTGTCCCATCACACAGCCACAGTTAGGTGTGGCCATGTCTTCCCCAGTGGTCCATGAAGCCCTGAGGTGTCTGCCCTGTACACAGTAGATGCTGAATCAGTACTCTGTATTTCAGATGGTTGAGAAGGACTGGAGGGGGCAGAATGAAAGGCCAGAGGATAGAAATTAAAGTTACTTGTGCAACTCCCACCAAACTTAGAGGGTGGGCTGAGAAGAACAGTGCATAACTCAGAGGAGGGGGAAGGAACTCCAGTGAATGTGCATCCAGGGTCAAAGAAAAGTAGAAATTTTGGTCCCATCACTTGACAATAATTGCATGGTCTTAACATTTTCTTCCTCCTTTGCTTCTGGAAAATGCATGGCACGTACTGGGCCCTCAGTGAGTAGGCACTGAATGACTAAGTGAGTACTGCTTCTCTCTTGTTCTTTTTGTTCCTTCATGTTCTTTGTAACTACTCAAGCTTTCCCCCACCACCCCAATACAGCCATTCTCTCTCTCTCTCCCCCTCTCCCTCTCTCTCTCTCTCTGTCTCTCATCTGCTATCTGCTAACTCCATCTGTAGTAATATAAGGTATGTAGGCGTGTGTGTGTGTGTGTGTGTGTGTGTGTGTGTGTGTGTATCATTTTTCATTTACAAAGGAGAAAACAGAAGTTCCAAAGTCCAAAACTGAGCACCCAAGTTTACACAGCTGTCCATACAGCTAGTAATAAAGTTGGCGCAGATAAGGTCCTATTCCCCCAGAGCCCTTCCACTTTTGTGTGCATCAGTCTATGATGCACTTTGACTCCCAACAGCCAGCAGCTGCGACCCTTTACCCAAAGGACACCCAGTAGGCCAGAACTCATTTGCTAGTCAGTGTCAATGTGGTACTAGAAGTACATGGAGTTAAGTCTCCCTCCCACCCACCATCAAGGGGAACCAGGGCTGGCTGATCTTAACTAATGATTGACAGGTGGGAAGGCATTAAGACTACCGCTCTCCAGGGCCCAGTCGGCACAGCTCTGATGTGTGGGGCACACTACCCCACATCTACCAGGGGTGATTAAGCCCAAGTGACCTTCAGAGGACTTCTCAATGTCGTACCCTTGCCCAGCCTCTTCCTTTTCCCTGTCCATCTTCTCTGGAAACCCTCGTAATAAATCTTTCGCACAAATCCCCGCAGAAACCACCACCTCTAGGGACCCAGACTAAGGCAAGGGAGATGTAGGATTCAAACCCAAGCCTGTCTGTCTTCAAAGTTTTTTCCCACTATGCTATGGTTGAGATGTTATTACAATCACACCAGTCTGCTCTTTGTTCATCTTACAGTTATACACTTAAAATGCATGACACAACCCCATCTCTACTAAAAGTACAAAAATTAGCTGGGTGAGGTGGTATGTGCCTGTAATCCCAGGTACTTGGGAGGCTGAGGCAGGAGAATCACTTGAACCCGGGAGGTGGAGGTTGCAGTGAGCTGAGATCATGCCACTGCACTCCAGCCTAGGCAACAGAGAGGAACTCCATCTCAATAAACTAAAATAAAATAAAATGTATCACACATACATTTAAAAAATTCGAATGGCCACTCTGACTTCAGGCATCTTGAAGACAAATATGTATTCAAACACTCTATGCTTGCTTACTTTTTCTTACTATAATTATATCGTCTCTGAGGCAAAAGAGCTTTGAATATCTTAGCAAAATAAAATAAAGGGCTCAAAGGGGAGAGAAAAGGTTATTTTTGAACTTGTCTTTGTAATTGCCCCTTGCCTGGGTCCATAATTAAATATAAACTAAAAAGAACTTTAGTTATTGAATGTTCTAAGTATTTTCATTATATGAGTAATGTAATGACACTAGAGAAATTTGAAATCCAGGGGAGAAATAAACACCCAAATACTCTAATCCAACCATTTACCAACTATTTCCTTTATAAACGATTTCCTTTCACTTAGAAACTATTTCCAGTACACTAATCCAACCATATACAAACTATTTCCTTCCAGCAGTTATCACAGCTTTTTGCGCAGCCCAGGGATCCATGCATTTGAGGTGGCTGCAGTCCTGCTTCAACGCCGGGGTTTCCTGTGTGTTTGCCTTTGGCCCAAGCGGTTTCCATGTAACACAGTTCTTGTGGCTGTCATTTTTAATGGTTGCACATTGTTACACCCAGAGGATGTACTATATATTATCACCCTTTTGGCTGCTTTTGATGTTTAATATTAATCTTATTAAGTAATAAGATTGTGTTGAACGTGCCATTTTGGTTTTGCTTCTATTCTTTTTTCCCTATGTCAGATCATACCTTTAAAAGAAATTTCCAAGACTTGAGTTATCGGATAAAGGGATAATGTTTATAGCTTTTGATACACACTGCCACTTTTTCTCCAGTCCTGCCTCATCAAAATACGTACTAATCTGTGTTATCATAAGCCAACATGAAACAAAGGTATTCCAAACTCAGCGTGGTTTCTCATTCTTTCACGAGTTCTGTTCTACCAAAATGAATTCATTTTAAATTTCTCGATTTCATACAAAGGTCTTGAAATTTTCTCTAGAATGTTATGAGCCCATAGCATGCCTCATAAAAATGATGGGGAACTTAAAATGAGACAGAATGTGAAAGTGACATTTCAGTCATCCTCAAATATATGTAGTGCTCATTTTAATTCTAAGCTTTCTCAATTGCTAATTCCTGCAGGGATTAGTCCTCGAGCTTGAGTTGCCTGATTGATCCAATCATCCTCACTCGACACTAAATAGGGCACCTTTCAATGGGTGATGTGGGCTCACTGAGTTGGATGCATATTTTGTGAACATTAATTTATGCCTGCACCTTGAAACGCAGAGGATAAGGAATGTTGATAAGAAAAACAAGCAAGAAGGGATTCCCATTTTCTCAGCTATTCTGTGGTTTGCCTGAGTTCATCCTAAGATTTCATAACAGAACAGGACACAGAACAGGACAATTGAGACTCTCTTACAATTTTTACCAAGCCAAAAAGCCATTTGAGAGTTCTAGTAAAAAAGTGGAAAACCCAGCCAGACTCCCAGAAACATCATTCAGGTGACACCAGACATGCTTGCAGATAAACATTCCGTCGATTGAATTTTCTCACTTTAAACTTTCAAAAATTAAAGAAGCTCATTTTCTGTGGCACTTCAAACCCAACAAGCACCAACTTGCATTTTGTTTCAAGAAAGCATTTTACTTTAACCCAATAACATATTGTTTCTCGGTAAATTGTCAAAACTCCTGGTTTTCTTACAGCCACATCCCATTCTTGCCTTCACCCTGAGGATCATAGTCGGAGGGCTGGTGATCTCCCACAAATGATTCCACAGGCTTTTTTTTTTTTAATTTGGCAGGGCTTTCTGGGTTAGGATAATTCTGGGTAATCCTAATTAGAGCCCTATCCAAGCTTGAACTCCATAACCGAACAAACCAGTTTTACAACTCAAAGGATTTAATTTGGCCTCACACTTGCAGTGGGGAAATACACACACACACACACACACACACACACACACACACACACATACACACACACACAAACACACACACAGAAAAACTGGCAGCTCAGCTAACAGGCAACTGAATGTTGGACACACTGCCAGCTTGGTCCAATTAAGAAACATTAGAAGTCTAATGACTTAAAGAGGAACGGTTCACACAGGACACAAGGTTCTTGACAGCAGCCAAGCAAATTGCAAAGTCTCCAGCTCAGGTATGCGAATCCCTTCAATATTTCAAAACAGCCAGGGACCAGTAGAACCTGGCTTATATGCTTTCTTGCATACGTAGGGAAAAAGAATCCAGGTGGAGAACCTGGCTAAACATTGATCTCAGAAAAAAACTCCATTTAAGCTTAAAAAAAAAAAAACCTATGGGACATTCCTGGGTACAACAGAACACATGAAATATTGCCATTTTGCCTATTAATACTTATTCCTGGGAAATTAACAAAAATCATTGCCTGGGTGCACTTCATCCTGTCCTTCCCTCCCACTACCAGCCCCTTCAAATGCACCTCCTGGAAAAAAAACGGAACCAAAACAATGTCATGAAAAACACTTGGGTGAGGGTTTTCATTTACTCCATGCCAAGTATTTTATTTTTAAGCCTGATTTGACCAAGTCAGGCTCAGGCAAAGCAAGTTTCAGATCCTGCTGTCAGTGAAAATTGCAGCGCCGCCATCTGCTTACCTGTCACCAGGACTGCCTTTTGATCCACAGGTAACAACTCTTGCCCAGATAAGTAAGTATACATGAGGCAACATGACAGAGAGAAGAGGATCAAGCCCCAAAAAGGGGACAGGATGAGCAGGCACACTGCGCAGAGGCCTGCCAGGCAGACCATGCAGCTCGGCACCGGTCTTGGGCTCTTCTTGTATTTGCACAGAACTGTCCCACACAGTACCGTGGGGATAGCCAGGCAGATCCATGCTGTCTCCGAGAAGAAAGTGCTCATTCTCAGCATTTGCTGCACCTTCAAGTGTTCAGGACCAGTGAGTCTGGTGGGCAAAGGCTGGCTGGAGGCAGCCTGAGTTATAAGAACAGAGAGGCAAGAAGGGAGGGGAGAAAGCAGCCCCAGCCCCTTTCGACTGAGCATAGATTAAGCATAATCATACAGGCACATATTCCCAGTGGGCAATTTAAACCAGTGTGCACTTCAACATAAATACCAAGGCACTTCCTATTTGACCGCTCTCCCCCCTCCCCACCCCCTGCACACACAACACGTGCACATACTCACCCACAAACACACACCTTCTGGTTTTTTTTTTTTAATGACAGTCCACCTCTGGAGAGATGACTAATTGGATAATAATTGACAGAATTCAAACTGCACGGAGAACAACAGGAAAATCCTCTAGCTGACAGGAAAATACTGTCTTCTTCAAGAGCCTGCAGTGTGTCTGGGTGTTGAGTCCTTTTTCTGACTCAGGAGTGAGTGTGTGTGTGTGTGTGTGTGTGTGTGTAAATCCAGGCAATTGATGAAGTTTGGAAGATAGATTCTGGAAGAGAAGGCATCTCTGATCTGGTCCATGGCTTTAGGACTCCTATAAATCCCAACTGAGGCAGGCTGAAGGGCTGGATGGAGAGGGAATATGGGAGCAGAGGAAGATATTCCTTGGCAGAGGAAAGTGCTTTGGTCTTGCCAGAGGGGAAACCTGCCAGGGAGAGATAATAATGACAATTAACTAATAGCGGCTGATATCTATGGGTACTTGTTTGTGGCAGAGGCTTTGTGTAGCTGCTCATTTGTTCATTCTCTTTATTTTGAGCATATTCTATGCCAGCCTCCATTCACTGGGACTCACCTCATTCCCCTTGAATATAATATCCTTATGAAGTTGGTTCTAGTATTATGGTAATTGTACAGGTGAGAAAACCAGGGCACAGAGAGGATAAGAGACTTAGTCAAGATCACACAGCAGCGGAGTCTTATAGCCTGATCTCAGAGCTTTATGTTCTTAAGCACTCTATTCCACCGCCTGCTTTACGCAAAGAATTTGAAAAAAAAAATTAGTACATTATGTGCTAGCTCTTTCCTACTTTCAACCCATTTCAACCTTATAAAACCCTTTGAGGTGGGTATTATTATGGTCAGTTTACAGAGAGAAAAACTGAGGCTGGGAAAAAATAAGTCCCTTACTCACAAGTGGCTTAAAAGCCAGCACTCTGCAGCTGCAGCACCACCGACCAGTGCTGAGCCCAAGGGAGCCACTGTACCTGGGCTCAAGGTGTGTCCCACGTGGGCCACGTACCCAGCTGGAGGGAGGCAGGGTTCTGATAAAGGCTGGGTGTTGACAAAGCTAGAGAGAAATATTCTCTATTTGAGGTCAGTTTCCCTGTATTCAAATCTAATCTTAGCTCCACCACTTAATAATTATGTAGTCTTGGGTGGGTCACTTCACCTCCCTAGACCTTCATCCCTTCACCTATAAAATAATATCATATCCTGCCTGGAACAGTAGAAGGAACCTCATAAATGCTAGTGATTCATGCTTTTTTAAACAGGAGGAGAAGGAAGAATAAGAGGAAGTCTTGTAAAACAAAGTGTCCATTGGAATAAAGACCTGTCCCAAAACATTTGCTGGAGTTAAACGAGGGGCAGGAAAAGGAGGGGAGAGAATGCCTTTTGTGGATGATGTTAGTGAGGCACGTCTTGGGAAGGAACGGACCCAGCAGCATATCCCCTGTAAAGGGAGGTGAGGCAGAGCCCACCTGGGCTGAGAGCCAACTCAAGACCCCAGGGAGAAGGGGTGGGAAGCCGTGTCGGGAACCATTACTGTGCTGTGGTATTGTGGGCCTGGAGAACAAGGCAGTTAGGAGGGTCTACATGGAGTGATGGCAACTCTTGTCTGCCCTCCCAGACACATGGACATTTGAGTCAGTGAGATATTACCAGCTCCTGGTCGGGAAGCTTAGGGGTGGGGATCTGGAATTGTCTTTGGCTAGCCCTGAACTCTCCCCTGCCTCCACAGACCGCATTCTTTCCTGGGTGCCATCTGAGCCACGGAGCGCCTCTCACAATCCTTGTGGCCTCACCAGCCGGGAACATCCTGGCTGTTAGCTCTGGTCCAAAAATAACTTCCAGGTGGGAAGGCAGGACTAGTTGTGACTCTTTGCTGAGAGTCTTGGTATTTTGTCAGTGGCTCCCACATCTGGGCTGGACCAAACACCTGTGCAGGTTTCCTATCAAGCGCATGCCCACCTGAAAGGAGCTGACTTTTCTTCAGGAGGAGCCCCTGTGACTTACCAGACTTGCTCTGTCCTGGGGCTCCCAAAGTGCTATTTCCTGCTACCAGCAGAGGTACCATTTTGAAATTGCCTTCTGAAAATAAAACATCCTACCCAAAAGGAAGGATGGCCCAATCTGACCCCCCCACCAAAAAAAAATGCTGAGAATCCTCCAGTGTACAGATTCTTTTGCTCAAGAATTTGTGAGCCAAAGCCACCCTCAGGCCACACAGAAGTCCCAAGAAGGATGCTCCCTGACCCCTGATGGTGAAGCTGCTGAAAGCATTAAGAACATGAGCTTTCAAGTGTCACAGCCTTTTAACTTGAGTTTGAATCCTGGCTTAGCTGTGAGGCATGGGGCAAGTTACCTGCCCTTCCTAAGCCTCAGTTTCCTCCCCTGTGAAATGGGGGTAGGAGAAGTCCTGCTTCCAAGGGCTGTTTTGAAAAGTGAATGGCATCATTCTTGCATTGTCCCTGGCACTGACAGGCATGCCTAGATGGTAGGCACCTTTCTCATTGTCGGGAGTACCCACTGCTTCTTAGCCTTTTTCCTCTGGGCAGAGAGAGAGTTTCTGGCCAGTCACCTCCTCACTCGTTTATTTCTTCTTTCGGTTCAGCACACAGCTGTTTCCCTTGTCATCCTTCAGATATCTGCTTAAACATCACCTCCTGTTACCCAACCTGAATATCTTCCATCAGCCCACCTTATTCATTCCCTTTATTGCACTTAGCTCGATCCACAATTATATATTTCCTTTGCTCATTTTAAGAATATTTTCTACCTCCCCTAGTAGACCATAAACTTCTTGAGGGCAGGAACTTTATCTGATTATTGTTTTTCCTTTACTGTTCACCAAATGCCCAGTCCAGTGACTGATACATCACATATACATAATTAATATTTGTGGGATAAAGATAGGAAGGAACGCATCTCTATTTAGAGCCTTCTAGGTGGCTAGTTCTGCGCCAGCTGTGGAGGGATTCAGCAGTGAACACTATAGACCCAGTTCCTGGCCCTGCAGAGTTGAGGACCCAGTGCTTCCAGGATGCCTGCTGCAGGAGCAGGGACTAGTGGGGGTGCAAGGTGGTAGAAAAGAAGGCTATTTACCAGTAGGGGAACATATGGAATGCTAGACTCTCCAGGTGAGAACAAGCCCAATCCTTTCTGAGCCCTGAATGTCCTCATCCTAACCTCAGGGTCAGTCCATCTGAGAGCTACCATTGAGTGATGATGTTCTCCATCCTACTGAGCTAAATCATGTCCCTTATTTGTCCTTGCCATTTTGTCCTGAAGCTATTCTAGAGGCCATCATGACTTGACTAGTGTCCTATTTCTGGCAAGTTGGCTCTCAGCCTTCCAGGGAAAAGGAGCCAATTGGACCAACTCATGCTTGCTAATGATGCCAATGGGTCATTGTGCTATTTCCTTCTACTAGCAGAGGGGCCTTTTTGAAAATTGCCTTCTGAAAACAAAACATCTTACCCAAAAGGAAGGATTGCCCAACCTGGGGAAAAAAAATGCTGAGAATCCTCCAACGTACACTTTCTTAGAATCCATGGATCTTGAGTTTAGAAGTTGAAGAAGGAGCTTCCCATCTAAAATGGGGATTGTCTCTGTAACATCCCCACCAAGTGGTCATCTTGTCTATTGCCAGAGTATCTCTGAGAACAGGCATCTCACTGCCTCTGAAGGCTGATTTTTCCCATGCAAAGTTGCTTGGGATATTAGAACATTCTCCTCTAGGCCAAATTCATCTTGACATTTGTCTTCCCTCTCCACATGGAGTCAGAGAATGTCTTGTTCTATTTCTTTCAGATATTTGAAAGATATTTCAGAGCTCAAACGTTTTTTTAAAATCACACTGTTACAATAACTGAAGAACATTTTGCTATGGTGAGGGTTACATAATGATGGCATGATATGCCAAGCAGAGAATGACTGTGTGTTGATGTCATAGTGACCCAAAGTTCAGGATATAGACAAGGTGGTACAAACCGTCACAGATCATCTCAGAGAAATCACAGAGATCTTGTTGGTAACACGAGTTTTTTTTGTCTTTTTTTTTTTTTCTTTTTGAGCATTAGGGTGATAACTACCGTTTTAAGTGTTTGTGATTGTGCAAATATCATGTATTATATATTTATCTATTTCATACAGTGGGCAGGGTGGAGACCAAGAGAAGATGACCAGAATTTGGGGCTGTAACATGTCTTTTTTCTGTCTTTGAAATAGTATGTGGTAAATATGTCTAAACTCCTCACTTGTCATAAATTCCAAGTAAGTCAGATCTTTTTTTTTTTTTTTTTTTGTATAGTATTTCAAGGATCTTCAGCTGCTTCTTAGAATGGCATTCAATTACTTACATCTCCCCTGAAAGATTAGGCCCAGAACTGGGCACAATATTTTCAGTACAGTGCAAAGAACATAGAATAGAATAAGATTATCACCCCTCCTAGCCTTGAAGCTATATTTTTGCTTATGTGACCAAAGACTTATTTGCTTTTTTAACAAAAGTGACCTATTATTGATTGCCACAGTGTTTGTTATCAAATAAAATTCCAGTTTTTATAGTTTCTGTGTCAGTTTAACTTTTTATAGTAAAATATCGCACACATGTGGAGAAATTATCCAAAATATAAGTAAATATTCATTCATCCATAGTGATATAAATACATGATCAGCTCGGTGGATGAGAAGCAATGAGGGTAGGGTGAGACAATCTACTGAAATTAAACAGTAGCAGATTTATCTGATGATTGGCTTTTAGTCCACCCCCTGATTCATCAATTATTTACTAAATGTTTATTCTGGGCCAATAGATAGAGATACAGACCCCTCTTTGACCTTGAGGCTTGCACGTGCGTGAGGAGTAAGGCACGCTCCTGCATGCATTGTCCTTGCATTTCATACACAGTGAATCAGTGAATTCTGTTAGTAAAAGACAGATTGAAAGATCCCCGAGCTCTATTTCAATTTATTCACATGGATCTTGACAATGATTCTCCATCTACACAACTTTACTTCTCCTAAATACATTAAGAGATCAACATGTATAAAAATATGTCTGCCCATGTGTCCCAGTATTACTCTCTCTCTCTCTCTCTCTCTCTCTCTCTCTCTCTGTCTCTCTCCTTATCCTCTCTCCTAAGTTTCTTTTTTTTAAACTGCATTTTAGATTTTGGGGTACATGTGAAGAACATGCAAGATTGTTGCATAGGTACACACATGGCAGTGTGATGTGCTGCCTTCCTCCCCTTCACCTACATCTGGCATTTCTCCCCATGCTATCTCTCCCCAACTCCCCACACCCCGCTGTCCCTCCCCTATTTCCTCCTGACAGACCCCAGTGTGTGATGCTCCCCTCCCTGTGTCCATGTGTTCTCATTGTTCAACACCCACCTATGAGTGAGAACATGCAGTGTTTGATTTTCTGTTCTTGTGTCAGTTTGCTGAGTACGATGGTTTCCAGATTCATCCATGTCCCTACAAAGGACACAAACTCATCGTTTTTGATGGCTGCATGGTATTCCATGGTGTGTATGTGCCACATTTTCCCTGTCCAGTCGATCATCGATGGGCATTTGGGTTGGTTCAAGGTCTTTGCTATTGTAAACAGTGCTGCAATGAACATTCATGTGCATGTGTCCTTATAATAGAAAGATTTATAATCCTTTGGCTATATACCCAGTAATGGAATTGCTGGGTCAAATGGAATTTCTATTTCTAGGTCCTTAAGGAATCTTCACACTGTCTTCCACAATGGTTGAACTAATTTACACTCCCACCAACAGTGTAAAAGTGTTCCTATTTCTCCACATCCTCTCCAGCATCTGTTGTCTCCAGATTTTTTTAATGATCACCATTCTAACTGGTGTGAGGTGGTATCTCAATGTAGTTTTGATTTGCATTTCTCTAATGACCAGTGATGATGAGCTTTTTTCATATGTTTGTTGGCCTCATGTATGTCTTCTTTTGTAAAGTGTCTATTCATGTCCTTTGCCCACTTTTGAATGGGCTCGCTTGTTTTTTTCCTGTAAATCTGTTTTAGTTCTTTGTAGATTCTGGATATCAGCTCTTTGTCAGATGGGTAGATTACAAAAATTTTTTCCCATTCTGTTGGTTGCCAATTCACTCTAATGACTGTTTCTTTTGCCGTGCAGAAGCTGTGGAGTTTGATTAGGTCCCATTTGTTTATTTTGGCTTTTGTTGCCAATGCTTTTGGTGTTTTGGTCTTGAAGTCCTTACCTATGACTATGTCCCGAAAGGTTTTGCCTAGGTTTTCTTCTAGGGTTTTTATGGTGTTAGGTCTTATGTTTAAGTCTTTAATCCAGAGTTAATTTTAGTGTAAGGTGTCAGGAAGGGGTCCAGTTTCTGCTTTCTGCACATGGCTAGCCAGTTTTCCCAATGCCATTTATTAAACAGGGACTCCTTTCCCCATTGCTTGTTTTTGTCAGGTTTGTCAAAGATCAGATGGTTGTAGATGTCTGGTGTTGCCTCTGAGGCCTCCGTTCTGTTCCGTTGGTCTATATCTCTGTTTTGATCACTGTAGCCTTGTAGTATAGTTTGAAGCCCGGTAGTGTGATGCCTCCCGCATTGTTATTTTATTTTATTTATTTTTATTTCTTGCTTAGAATTGACTTAGCTATGCGGGCTATCTTTTGGTTCCATATGAAGTTTAGGGTGTTTTTTTCCAGTTCTGTGAAGAAGGTCATTGATAGCTTGATGGGGATAGTATTCAATCTGTAAATTACTTTGGGTAGTATGCTATTTTCACGATATCGATTCTTCCTAACCATGAATATGGAATGTTTCTCCATCTATTTGTGTTCTCTCTTATTTCGTTAAGCAGTAATTTGTAGTTCACCTTGAAGAGGTCCTTTACATCCTTTGTTAGTTGTATTCCCAGGTATTTTATTCTCTTTGTAGCAATTGTGAATGGCTGTTCGTTCTCGATGTGGCTCTCTTTAAGTCTGTTATTGGTATATAGGAATGCTTGTGAGTTTTGCACATTGATTTTGTATCCTGAGAATTTGCTGAAGTTGCTTATCAGTTTCAGGAGATTTTGGGCTGAGACGATGGGGTCTTCTAGATATACAATCATGTCGTCTGCAAATAGAGACAATTTGACTTCCTCCTTTCCTATTTGAATATCCTTTATTTCTTTTTCTTGCCTGATTGCTCTGGCTAGAACTTCCAGTACTATATTGAATAGGAGTGGTGAGAGAGGGCATCCTTGTTGAGTGCCAGATTTCAAAGGGAATGCTTCCAGTTTTTGCCCATTCAGTATGATATTGGCTGTGGGTTTGTCGTAAATAGCTTTTATTATTTTGAGACATGTTCAATCAATACCTAGATTATTGAGGGTTTTTAGCATAAAGGGATGTTGAATTTTGTCAAAGGCCTTCTCTGCATCAATTGAGATAATCATGTGGTTTTTGTCTCTGGTTCTGTTTATGTGGTGAATTGCGTTTATATACTTGCGTATGTTGAACCAGCCTTGCATCCCCGGGATGAATCCTACTTGATCATGGTGGACAGGCTTTTTGATGTGCTGTTGCAATCGGTTTGCCAGTATTTTATTGAAGATTTTTGCATCTATGTTCATCATGGATATTGGCCTGAAGCTTTCTTTTCTTGCTGAGTCTCTGCCAGGTTTTGATATCAGGATGATGTTGTTCTCATAAAATGATTTGGGAAGGATTCCCTCTTTTTGGATTGTTTGGAATAGTTTCATAAGGAATGGTATCAGCTCCTCTTTGTATGTCTAGTAGAATTTGGCTGTGAATCCGTCTGGACCTGGGCTCTTTTTGGGTGGTAGGCTCTTAATTGCTGCCCCAACTTCAGACCTTGTTATTGGTCTATTCAGGGTTTCGGCTTCTTCCTGGTTTAGGCTCAGGAGGTTGCAAGTGTCCAGGAATTTATCCATTTCGTCCAGGTTTACTGGTTTATGTGCATGGAGATGTTTGTAATAATCTCTGATGATGGTTTGTATTTATGTGGAATCTGTGGTGATATCCCCTTTATCGTTTTTTATTGCATATATTTGATTATTCTCTCTTTTCTTTTTATTAATCTGGCTAGTGGTCTATTTTGTTGATCTTTTTGAAAAGCCAGCTCCTGGATTTATTGATTTTTTGAAGGTTTTTTTGTGTCTATATCTCCTTCAGTTCTGCTCTGATCTTAGTTATTTCTAGTCTTCTGCTAGGTTTTGGATTTTTTTGGTCTTGCTCCTCTAGCTCTTTCAATTTTGACGATAGGGCGTCAATTTTAGATCTTTCCTTCCTTCTCATGTGGGCATTTATTCCTATATATTTTCCACTAGACACTGCTTTAAATGTGTCCCAGAGATTCTAGTATGTTGTGTCTTCATTCCATTGGTTTCAAAGAACATCTTTATTTTTGCCTTCATTTCATTGTTTATCCAGTCAACATTCAACAGCCAGTTGTTCGGTTTCCATGAAGCTGTGCGGTTCTGAGTTAGTTTCTCAATTCTGAGTTCTAACTTGATTTCACTGTGGTCTGAGAGACTGTTTGTTGTGACTTCTGTTCTTTTGCATTTGCTTAGGAGTGGTTTACTTCCAATTATGTGGTCAATTTTAGAGTAGGTGTGATGTGGTGCTGAGAAGAATGTATGTTCTGTGGATTTGGGGTGTGGAGAGTTCTGTAAATGTCTATTAGGTTTGCTTGGTCCAGGACTGAGTTCAAGTCCTGTATATCCTTGTTAATTTTCTGTCTCATTGCTCTGTCTAATATTGACAATGGGGTGTTAAAGTCTCCCATTATTATCGTGTGGGAGTCTAAGTCTCTTTGTAAGTCATTAAGAACTTGCTTTATGTATCTGTGTCCTCCTGTATTGGGTGTGTATATTTAGGATCGTTAACTCTTCTTGTTGCATTTATCCTTTTACTATTATGTAATGTCCTTCTTTGTCTCTTTTGATCTTTATTGGTTTAAAGTCTATTTTATCTGAGATGAGAATTTTAACTCCTGCTCTTTTTTGCTCTCCGTTTGCTTGGTAAAGCTTCCTCCATCCCTTTATTTTGAGCCCTTGTGTATCCTTGCATGTGAGATGGGTTTCCTGGATGCAGCACACCAATGGGTTTTGGCTTTTTATCCAATTTGTCGGTCTGTGTCTTTTGATTGGGGCATGTAGCCCATTTACATTTAGGGTTAATATTGTTATGTGAGAATTTGATCCTTCCATTTTGATGTTAGCTGGCTGTTTTGCCCATTAATTGATGCAGTTTCTTCATTGTGTTGATGCTCTTTACCATTTG